ATATCTTGTTCAAGTTCCAACATCTTTTGTTGGTCTTCTTGCTCGATGTCAATCAGCAAAAGCACGCCTTGATTATGAATGGGGTATAAAAACAGTTTATATGGATGATTATCCATTATTATTAGATGCTGCTGCTACTGGTCTTCGTATAACTCATTCACCAGCAACAGCTAAAGATGAATTAAATGCATTTTTTCATGAACGTATGCCAGGTGCATGTGATGAAATAGCAAATAAAATTACAAATCTTGATCCAAATCTTCAAAGTATATTATTAGCTCAATTACAATGCAATTTATTTATTGACAAATAATTTATTATAAATATTCAAAACGAATAAACTTTTTTAAAATTCCATTGATTTCTAGTAGATCGATTTTATTACTTGTATCAATTGATTTTCTTATTAAACAACGTGTAATTTGTTTAAGTTTTAATGAATTTTGAAGATGATAACGAATTAATGATTGATGATAAGGAATAGAAAGTAAATCTTGTGTACAATAAATATGTTCACTTAGTAAGAGAAGACGAATAAGCGATAATGAATAATTTGTTTTTTCAATAAGTTGTAATAAATAAACAAGTGAATGACGACGTTGAGCAAGTAAAAGAATTAATGATTTATTACAATTTAAATCTTGAATATCTTGTGATGTTAATTGAACTGATGAATGTGAATCGAGTAAACATTTAACCATTTCAATACTATTTGTAGCTGAATGCATTGCCATAAATAATGCTGAATGACCAGTATTAGTTACAACATTTCCAATACGTTGATTATATTGTAAAAGAATTTTAACTATATTTAAATGTCCAGTTGAACAAGCAAAATGAAGTGGATGCCAACCTGTATGTGTTGATTCTGGAGATAATATTGAAAGTAACCATTGAACAATTTCAATATGACCAGCTCGACATGCATAAACAAGACATGAACGACCTCGATCATCTTGTCGATAATAATCACCATTACCATGTTCAACTAACCATTGACATACTGATAAATGACCTTCACCACAAGCATACATTAATGGACAACGACCTTCCACATCAACTAATGTTGATATTGAAATTCGTGAGAAATTAATAAGATCAATCATTATATCTATATGACCATAACTAGCTGCATAATGAATTGGAGTACGACCTAAATAAATTTTAAAGAATAATTTACTAAATTTTTATTTAAAATTAAACTAACCTAATGAATCACGTTGTTTAGGATCAGCTCCATATTGACATAAAAGACGTACAAGTGATCGACCATCACGATGTAAAACAGCTTCATGTAATGGTGATCTATTAATACCTTTTTTTAAATTAATTGAATCAATATCAATATTTTCAAATAACCATTTTACTGTATCAATATCATTTCGACAACATGCTCGAATTAATTTTTCACTCTCTAAAACAAAAAAAAATACATACTCGACTTTTTTTTTCTTTCAAATCTTAACAAACAAACCTTCTTGATTATCACCGGCTAAAATCCGTCTTACACGTCGAATACCTTCAACAACGGATGAATATTTTTCAATTCTATTATATTGAATCGATGTAGGTGAAGACAAAAGTTCAAGTTGTTGTCGAATATGCCATTGTCTATCCATCTTTTTTTTTCTTTCTACTCAATAGTGAAATACAAACTGATGACCGATACAGAATTACAATGACCTTTTGATGACCTTGTTCGCTCTCTCTGAAGAAGAGAAAAAAGAACATTTTTTTTCAGAATAACCTATATACATAGATACATTTCTTTTTTTTTTTTTGTTTTTGTTTGTTTATTATCAATCTAATCAAGAAGAAAGAATAGTACGAGAGATTAAATGTGCAATAAATGTTTGTTGTTGAAGTAATTGATTTTTGTCATATTTATTTGCTAATTCAATTGTATCTTCAAATGCTTGTTTTAATTCTGAACAATCAATTAATGAATTAAGTTCAATTAAAGATATTTGACAATTTTTTAAATAAATTTCTTCATTTTGACCATTAATTACATTTTGTACAAATATTTTTAAATGTTCAACAAAACGACGACATGCATTTAATATAATTTCATTATTATCAATCCAATGAACATGTTTACTATTTTGATCTGTTGTTATTAAATCTTCACCATTACCAAAATCATATGGACATGTTGTTATCTGTGGAATGTCTGAAGAAAAAAAAAAGACTGATTTTCATATTAATATTAAAAATAGAAAAAAAAACCTTTTTCTGCTTTTGTTCGTTTAAGAATTCGATCTAATGTTCGTTTCCATGTACTATCTGTACGCGATGATGTCGGTGAATAAGGAATTACATTATTATTATTATTATTATTATTATTTCTATTATAATGAACAGTTAATTGTTTTGTTGATGGTGACCATATAACAACACCATCGGTATCTTCATCTTCATTCTTACATTGATTTGACATATCTGACCAAATAAGACCATCAGCAAATGGTGATGGTGGTCGAATAGGAAAACTAATAGTTCCATAGTAACCATGCGATGTTGTTAAATCTAATATGTAGACAAAAAAAGAGAAAATGTTAGTATGAAGGAGAAGATTTTTTTGTTTTTAATTTAAAAAATTAGAATAGTAACTGTATGAAATCGAACATCTTATAAGGAAAGTCTTTCAACTGATAAATTGTTTTTAAATATGATATTTTTTAAATAAATGTTGTGATTCAAGCCAACTGAATTTCGACTTGAGACTTTGTACAGAGACAGGCTTTAACGACAGTAGCTTATTGTGAAGATTTCAAGTCTTTTGATTTGCTTCTATCGTAAAATAAGAACATCGAATCTATCGTTATATATGATCGATGTAAAAGACATGAATATTATCGTAATTGTATCTTAAGATAGGAACTATGATAAAATCTGAAAAAATTCACGAAGAACTATTCTCATTAAAGCTTGGGCAAATTTTCAAATCGAAATTTCAAAATCAATTTTTTCTGACTATGGCATTCATTTAGAAAATACTGTAAACGTTAAGCTAAAAGTATGAATTCTTTTCAGAATATTCATAACTCATTTAGGTCTATATGATACACATGGTCTTGATTCAAAAAGCGATTTATCACTTTGAGAACTTTTCTCGTTTGATATTAGATAAACTTTATTTATAACTAGGAAGTATCGAGATTGAATGAAGAATATTCTAGAGAACAAAAAATGTACATACCGATTACATCAGGTTCGCCATCATCATCACTAATAGATATCATTTGTTCTTTAAATACGATATGAAATGAAAGAAAAAAGAAAATGTATGAATAAACATATTGACATAGATATTTAATCATTGATTAATAAATATCTACCTGAATGTTTAACATTAATAACAGTTCGATAGAGAACAGGTGGAGGTGGTGGTGTGGTTGTTGTTGTGGTTGTTGCTGTTGTTGTTGATGTTTGACTATCAGCTATTGAACGCCATGTAACAAGTGTTGTACGATTTGGTACATTTGAAACTGTTTCTCGTTCGTCAATATCAATAGTTTTTGTAGGATTTCGTGTAAAAAATTGTCGTGTTAATTCAAATAATGATGGACTAGTTGATGGTGAAATATGTTTTCCTTGTGTTAATGTATATTTACGATGATTTTTTCTATTATTTAATATATGCTGTAGAAGTGGTGATCGACGAAATGATTCACTTTGATATTCATTTGATGAACTTGTTAGTTTAGATTTATTTGTACTAGATGATGGTGATTTACTTTTATGTGATATACGTTCAATAGATAATGGAAAATTTAATGATTCTAATTGTGAATAACCTTCAATAAATGCCATAAAATCATTAAGTAAATTTGTATGAATTAAAAAAGCAATTTCTTGTTGTAGGATAGATGAATCATCGGCTATTGTTGTTCGAGGTGTTGTTAATAAACGAATAGCTACACCATTTCGATATTGTTTAACAGTAACACGAGATAAATGAGACCAAGTAGAGACAAGTGTCATAACCTACAACATTAATTTTTGTATCGAAGAAAAAACATTTGAACAATATTTATTCGAAAGAAAATTGACTATAAAGTTTTGACTACAAAACAGGATATATGTAGACTTGTAGAGTAAGACTTCTTCTATTAGATGGTGTATGCATTATCAACATCTATTACGAACTGTTGACATATCGATCGATGGTGCCACATTCTGCAGTAGTCGTGGCCAAGATAATGTCGTCTATTGACATGTCCCAACGGTATGCAATAGAATTTGATAATACATGCATCATTAGATAGAGAAAGTCTTCATTTACAAGCCTATATATATCCCGCTCTGTAGTCAAAAGTGACTGTGTTTTAAGATCTATGAATATGAGAGATGAGACAGAAAATTTTATACAATTTAGGGAAGTAGTTTATTATGACAAAAAAATTGATTTATAATCCTCTTTTCCTTAATTATTTGTTAGACTATAGACAAAGTATAAAATGAAAGATACGTTCGAATTGATAGAAGAAATATTTTTCTTTGTTTAAATCTATTTTATATTGATATCGTCTTCATTATTTCATAGTTTGTTTTCTTCAGTAACGATAGTCTTACTTCGTAAGTAGTCGTTTGTGTTTATGGTTTCTTGTTCTGAAATTAGAGATATTTGACTCTGACGAAAGAACTTCTCGCAGTGTCAAATCGCTTTCCGAACGAGACGATGTTCATTTGATGAGTAATATGAAAGTCTAGAATTGTTTGGTTTTCTGAGTCTTCGTTATTGAGATATCGAAATTTTACTATGTTTTTCGTCCCTATTCAGGTCATGTGGAAAATCGACTTTCAAGTTTCGACTTCAAACAAAGCTCTCAATAAAACTGATTCATTGGATAAGTTTTTACTTTTTCTAGTATTTCCTTTCTGAAGATGTAAATATACGAACAAAATTTGCTTATACACATAAGAGAATTTCGAATATTGAATACTTCAGGATAGGCGATAAGAAAATCAGTAAAATTTCGATATCTCAAGAACGAAGACCGAAAAAAATCAAACCATTCTAGACTTGAAAGTTTCAGAAAAATCTAATTCCAATGCCAATTTATCGATCGACATATTTGAAAGTAATGAGATAAGCATTATAGAAGTCTTTTTTTTCTAATAATTTTGTCAAATACAACGAGTCTTTATCCATAAATATGGATTAGTCTTTTTCCTAAAGCTTATAAAGGATTTATTACGAGAGATTAAGATTCTTGCTTTTCTCTTCTCATGTCTATTGTATTACATCTACAAATATCACTATTTTGCTTCACAAACATACATTGACTGTCAACATAATAGTTCATA